ACCAATAATAATCTCAACTAAAACTACTTTCATTACGTGATACATCATTCCTTGTATTTTTATTTATCCTCTTTTTCATACATAATATGTATTATTATTACCAAAATTTCTTTCTACACATTGCTCAATTAAAGGCTCCCATTTACTTTTACCCTGGCACCCCAAATTTACCTAATACTCCTTCCATAACTTTTTACCCACTTTAGCATTGAAACTCCCCAACCACCATTACTCTCAACTCGATTCAAAACTCCCACCCATTCACTCAAACATTTCCCAGCACTCTCTTTCTCCTCTACACTTCTCTCTTATCCAGGTGCATACACGCCTTACTATAACCCACTTTTCACATCAATCTTTATTTTTACTCCCACATAATCCTTGAATTATTCATTTGTAGTCCCTCCTTTTCCTGCCATAGCTTATCCTTCATCATTATTGCTACTTTCTTCTTTAGCTCTAACTCTATTTGAAACCCTGACCTAATCCCATTTTTTCTTCCATTGAAACTCTCCACCCCTTCAGCTTTGCTTCATTTAAAGCCAGGACATCAGTTTCTTCTCATTCATAACATCCACCAATCATCTCTTTCTTATCATTTGCACAACATCCACTGCACATTCAGACTTCCCCCGTTTTGACAATTATCTTCTTCTTATTTCTTTTTTGTAATCTTACAGGGGAAAAGGGGATATAGCCCATTGTTCCGGCATTTTAGTTTGACTTTTACAACAGTATGGCGTACGGAGGAAAGATTCTTATTCCCACTTCCCCAGGATATAAAAGGAAAAGTAAATAGACCAAGAACTTTTAAGATAAAATCAAAGAAAACTCAGATGAGTGTGTATAAAATTATGTGTACAGTATGTGTAGTGTGAGACCTAGTGTAAAGTAGTAGTAGCAAGACGTACCTGTATCTTGCATCCATTTTGAGACTGACAAAAGACACCAGCAATCCTACATCATTGTAAAACTATTACAGGCTTTCCGTTTTAACACCTCTCTTGGGCAGACGGTAGTACATCCCTGGGTGGTTGCTGTCTACCACTATCCGATAAAACATATACCTATTAATATATAATATATAAATATATATACATATAAATCAATTTTTAAATAATAAAAACTCTTGTCACTGAATAAGTAAAATGAAGAAAATATTTACGTATCTAATAAATACCGGTGTTGAAAAGTAAATTAATGAATATAAAGTTATGGACTTTCTGCCTTCATGCTGGGTATTGATCGAATAGTTTCAAAATTTAAATAAAAGGGATTTTAAAATTTCTATTTCATAAAAGAAACGGAATTCCCATTTATAAAAAAATTATTTCCCTTTTCAAAAAAGCGGGGGTAAAGTTCAGGGGGGGAAATAAAGGGGTTTTAATCTGGAAGTATTGAGGGTTGAGCAGGGTAAGCGTATTTAAAAGTATTTATGGAAGGGAAAGAGAAAAATTAATAAGAATTATTTTAAATGGGGTTAAATGCGGGGGGGGGTATATGGTGTTAGAATGGAAAGAGGATTGAGAGAGATTCATTTTTGTTTTTTTGTGAATTTAATGGCAATTGTTTTTAGGTGTTGAGGAGTAATGGGGGTGGGAAACTGATGCATTTGTAAATTTTAGAGGGTGTGTATAATTTGGGGTGCGTGTAAATGATATGGAAGTTTTGATTGGAAACCTTATTATGGATTAGTTAGGTATCTTTTTAGATGGTATAAATACGTAGAAAGGGAATTTGAGTTTTAATTTGGTATAAAAGACTGCTGATAATAATAGATTCTGTTTTTGTTGTTGCTAAATAATCATGTTTTCTTTTGTTTACTGGTAATGGTGATGGGATAAGGAAGGGAAAGAATCTTTAATGGTAGGTTGAGGTTTTAAATAAAGAGGGACTAATTGGGTAAGATAAGCGCTATTGTAGAATTGCTATGAGTATAGGCAATTTGGGTCAAAGAGTATGGGTAAGTTAAAAACTGTGTGTTAATATGAGATGTTTAAATTTTGTTGTTTTTTGTAGAGACAGATTCAACAGAGATTGCCTGAATTTAAGAAAAATGAAGTATGAGTCCTGGCCTATGCAAAAGGCTTAATGGTTTGAATCTGCAATTGAGGCGCCTTAAATGGGTACTGTACTTCTCTGCAGGATAAGCAAGGAAGGGGTTGCCTAATGCTTAATAGATAGTTATGGGAGAAAAGCAAATACATTTAAATTCAAACATTATGTCATTAAATAAAGGTTAAATGCGAGAAGTGGGTCATAAGCGTATGCACCTGAGAAGAAGGATTAGCGCACCCAGACTTTTGGGAGACCTTAACTGTTAGGAGCCTTACAAGTAATTGAAGTATTGTGGTGGTCCTAATCTAAAGTCGAACTTTAAGAAGGGTGTGGTAGGAAGTTTGGGGCAAGGTGTTATAATACGGAGCCCTTTGACTTGCAACTTTGTATAGAAAGGGTTTAGTTATAGGTAATACATATTTTAAGAAAAGGATTTCAGTTACAGATATGATTAGGGCGAAATGACAGTTTTGTTCGATTTATTGGTAGATAAAGAGCTGTTGAGTAACTTCAGTGTATGTTTGTAGAGGGCCACAGATTATCAGATCTTTGCTAGTTGTAGATACACTGAGTGTACACAAGGTAGATGGGATACAAGGAGATTAAGATCACCCAGAAAGAGCAGGTGAAGTTTATAAACTCAAAAGGAGGCGTAGGGTAAGTATAAACAGCTATTGGAGGATAGTGGCTAATGAGCATAGGCAATGGGTGAAGTATTTATGCATTTAAATTTAGTGTTAGAGTGTTCAGCAGATGTTTGTGGTTACAGGAAAGTGGGTGCGGGAGGGAAGAGGAGCGTGGTGGAAGATGATGTAAAAGAGAGTAGTAAGGGAGAAAAAGTTAGCATATGAGAAGTTTTTACAAAGTAGAAGTAATGCAAGGAGGGAAGAGTATATGGAGAAAAAGAGAGAGGTTAAGAGAGTGGTGAAGCAATGTAAAAAGAGAGCAAATGAGAGAGTGGGTGAGATGTTATCAACAAATTTTGTTGAAAATAAGAAAAAGTTTTGGAGTGAGATTAACAAGTTAAGAAAGCCTAGAGAACAAATGAATTTGTCAGTTAAAAATAGGAGAGGAGAGTTATTAAATGGAGAGTTAGAGGTATTGGGAAGATGGAGGGAATATATTTGAGGAATTGTTAAATGTTGATGAAGATAGGGAAGCTGTGATTTTGTGTATAGGGCAAGGAGGAATAACATCTTGTAGGAGTGAGGAAGAGCCAGTTGTGAGTGTGGGGGAAGTTCGTGAGGCAGTAGGTAAAATGAAAGGGGGTAAGGCAGCCGGGATTGATGGGATAAAGATAGAAATGTTAAAAGCAGGTGGGGATATAGTTTTTGAGTGGTTGGTGCAATTATTTAATAAATGTATGGAAGAGGGTAAGGTACCTAGGGATTGGCAGAGAGCATGCATAGTTCCTTTGTATAAAGGCAAAGGGGATAAAAGAGAGTGCAAAAATTATAGGGGGATAAGTCTGCTGAGTATACCTGGTAAAGTGTATGGTAGAGTTATTATTGAAAGAATTAAGAGTAAGACGGAGAATAGGATAGCAGATGAACAAGGAGGCTTTAGGAAAGGTTAGGGGGTGTGTGGACCAGGTGTTTACAGTGAAACATATAAGTGAACAGTATTTAGATAAGGCTAAAGAGGTCTTTGTGGCATTTATGGATTTGGAAAAGGCGTATGACAGGGTGGATAGGGGGGCAATGTGGCAGATGTTGCAAGTGTATGGTGTAGGAGGTAGGTTACTGAAAGCAGTGAAGAGTTTTTACGAGGATAGTGAGGCTCAAGTTAGAGTATGTAGGAAAGAGGGAAATTATTTCCCAGTAAAAGTAGGCCTTAGACAAGGATGTTTTGATGTCACCGTGGTTTTTTAAATTAAAATTTATAGATGGGGTTGTAAGAGAAGTAAATGCGAGGGTCTTGACAAGAGGCGTGGAGTTAAAAGATAAAGAATCACAAACAAAGTGGGAGTTGTCACAGCTGCTCTCTGCTGATGAATGTTGCAGCGAGGAGAAGGCTGGAGGCAGTGGAGATGTCATGTCTGAGGGCAATGTGTGGTGTGAATATAATGCAGAGAATTCGTAGTTTGGAAGTTAGGAGGAGGTGCGGGATTACCAAAACTGTTGTCCAGAGGGCTGAGGAAGGGTTGTTGAGGTGGTTCGGACATGTAGAGAGAATGGAGCGAAACAGAATGACTTCAAGAGTGTATCAGTCTGTAGTGGAAGGAAGGCGGGGTAGGGGTCGGCCTAGGAAAGGTTGGAGAGAGGGGGTAAAGGAGGTTTTGTGTGTGAGGGGCTTGGACTTCCAGCGGGTTATGCATGAGCGTGTTTGATAGGAGTGAATGGAGAAAAATTTGGTTTTTTAATACTTGACGTGCTGTTGGAGTGTGAGCAAAGTAACATTTATGAAGGGGTTCAGGGAAACCGGCAGGCCGGACTTGAGTCCTGGAGATGGGAAGTACAGTGCCTGCACTCTGAAGGAGGGGTGTTAATGTTGCAGTTTAAAAACTGTAGTGTAAAGCACCCTTCTGGCAAGACAGTGATGGAGTGAATGATGGTGAAAGTTTTTCTTTTTCGGGCCACCCTGCCTTGGTGGGAATCGGCCAGTGTGATAATAAATAAAAATAAAAAATAATATAGTACTGTATATCTATATTATGTCTTCACTGTACAGTAGGATAAGATAGTCTTGGTTTTATTCATGCAGTAGTTCTTGCTTAGGATTGTAAATTTTTCATCATAAGTGTCATCTGTTTCTTTTAATGCCATATACAGCTATGATGCATATACAAAATCTTCCCTGTATATTCAGTAAGCATTATGTGTTGAAGTGCTGAGCCTGTAACAGCACAAGCTTTATCACGCTGTAAAGAGTTTTTATGCATAGATGGAAGCAGAGGTTAGAGTATATAGGCATCTGACATGGACATGTGATATCTTCACGAGTGATATATTTATAGCTGTAGTTGTAAAAGAAGTGAATGTAAGGGTGTCCAGAAAAGATGTGGGCTTAAAAGATAATGAATCACAATCCACTGTCATTCCTGTAGGACTCCTCTATATATTTTCACCTGTATGTGCTTGCAGGGGCCGAGTCCTAGATTCACTCTCCAAACCTTGTGGACTCTATCGTACCTATTCTTAAAGCTATGTATGGACTCTGCCTCCAACACTTCTTTGTTGAGGTCATTCCACTTCCAGACTACCCTGAGGCTGGAGAAATACTTCCTGACATCCATGATTCATCTGTGTCTTACTTCCAGCTGTGCTCCTGAGTATTTATTTCCTGCCTCTCAAACAGCCTGTCCCTGTCAATTTCCCTGAGTATTTTGTATCATGTATCCCTGTTCCTTCTATCCTAAAGGGTCATTAGGTTCAATTCCTTTAGTTGTTTCATTACTTGTTCTGCATAATTCTGGAATTAGTCTTGTTACATGCTTTTGTACTTTCTCTCCTTTCTTAACAAACTTCCTCAGGTGTACACTCCATACTAGTGCTACATACTTCAAGATGGGTCTGACATATATTGTATACAATGCCCAAGATGTTTCTTCATCAAGATTTTTGAAAGCCACTATCAGATTTGCCAGGCAAGATTTCCTGAGATGCTCCTGTGCACCTTACCTTCCTTTGTCTGTACTTTATGTATACTCCTTCTCATGTATTCTCTACTAACTTCATAAAGTCCACTGTGTGGGTGAAATAATGTCATTAATATAGGTATCCACTATATCTACTTACTCTGCAATGTCCACTTTGTTGTTATTTTATGCTTGTATGTGACAATTAGTCTCCATGATCTGCTGAATACTGTTTCCTTGTTACAAATAGCTTCTGACACTAACTGTTAGAACAATATAAAAATTTTAATTGTTTCTGTAGTGAAAATGTTAAAAGAAATGTTATATTACATAATATTTTCTAAATTTCAGGTAAAATATAAAATTGGTTGACTGATAAAGCAGAATGAAAATATAGTTAAATATTAACATCTCAGGTGTACACAGAAAATATTATGTTGGGTTTACATAATGTTCCCTTCAAGAAAGAAGCCTTGATGCTGGTGAAGGGCTCTTGATCTAATGAATTGGAGCTACCCTGATTATTTCCCATTTCCCAGGGGCTGTATGACACTCATGGGTTTAGCACTTTTCCCTGAATGTAATAGCAGTAATACCTAGGCAGATCAGCTTAAGCATCATGTTGTTTATACCTTAATTATTGTCATAAATTTTAATATGGAGTTATCATTTTGATTTTTGGTCATTATTTACTGAAACTCATTTTATTGAGGAATTAAGGTAAGCTTAATTTTTACTATACATTTTTATACTTTCTTAGGTAGTAGGTTGGTAGACAGCAACCGCCCAGGGAGGTACTACCGTCCTGCCAAGTGAGTGTAAAACAAAAGCCTGTAATTGTTTTACATGATGGTAGGATTGCTGGTGTCCATTTTTCTGTCTCATGAACATGCAAGGTTTCAGGTATATCTTGCTACTTGTACTTACACTTAGGTCACACTACACATACATGTACAAGCATATATATACATACATACCCCTCTGGGTTTTCTTTTATTTTCTTTCTAGTTCTTATTCTTGTTTATTTCCTCTTATCACCATGGGGAAGTGGAACAGAATTCTTCCTCCGTAAGCCATGCGTGTTGTAAGAGGCGACTAAAATGCCAGGAGCAAGGGGCTAGTAACCTCTTCTCCTGTATATATTACTAAATGTAAAAGGAGAAACTTTCGTTTTTCCTTTTGGGTCACCCCACCTCGGTGGGATACGGCCAGTGTACTGAAAGAAAGAAGATTTTTATACTTTATTCATAGTAATTAATTACTAAAATGATAAGATTTATTTTTCACAGATTTGTTATGGTTTGATTTACGGCATGGGAACACAAGCACTGAGTGAGCAGTTGGGTGTTGGTGAGGATGAAGCTCTGTCATTTATGGAAAACTTCAAGGGAAGCTTTCCAGGAGTTAAGCAGTTCATACAAAATACCATAGAGAAGTCTTGCAAAGAAGGTTATGTTCTTACCCTGATGGGCCGGCGCAGATACCTTCCAAACATCACCAGCAAAGATTTGTGTGCTCGAGGTTTGTACCTTGTTTTAAAGCAGTCTTGTGTGTTAGATTAATATGGGCAGAGGCAAGGGATTTTAAGGGGATCTGACATGCTTTAGAAGTGTGAGCACAGAAATACATTACAGGTCTCCCTCAACTTCCATGTTTTCCACTTTCGTGGGCTTCAAACATTCGCGAATTCCCAGCCACCCAGTCATATTTAAAATATGTCATTACATATGTTAGGAATTGTGGCGGTGGGAGAGTTTGTTTGGAGATAGGACAAGATAGTCCTTCAATATGACACTAATATCAACTCTACGGCTTATTTATCTATCACAATTCATCTAATATGACATAATAAACAATATTAATAACATAGAAACCTGACATATACTCTAGAATGAATAAAATACATATGTCATTAAGTACATCACACATGTTGTTGTTGTTGTTGGGAGTATAAAGGCCACTGAGGCATAAGCCTTACATGGTGGTGGTGGAGGGAGGCAATAGAGATGGCGGTGTTGTCAGTGACCCTATATAACTCCAGCAACATTGGAGGAGTTACATTCGTGCTGTCCTTTTTCCTGTTGATTAATCGCTTAACTTATTTGCTACACCGTTAATGCTACACTTCATCGCTGGCTGGTGCTATACCCTTTATCGACTAGTGCTGCTTTAGTATCGTACATTTGGTAAAATTACTGAATCATTGAAGAAGGCACATTCTCCCCTCTCTTCCTTCTCCACTTTGGTGCTCTGCTACGAGTTCTTTCTTGAATTCTATAGTCTTTTTCACCTTCTTTTCAAAGGACTGGCACTAGTGCAATATTTTATGATGTTTTCATGTGTTTTATGATTATTCATGGTTCAGTAGGTTAAGGGGCACCAAACATTCAAGATTTTTCAACATTCATGAGGCTCTTGATCCCCTAACCCTCACAAATGTTGAGGGAGACCTGCATCTGGAAAGATAGTTATGGAAGAATGATATAATTGAGTTTCCTTCTTTAGGTCATCCTGCCTTTTGTGAAAAATTACCTGTTAAAAAAAGGTATGCTGCATGATGTGCATAATATTATATTTATGGGCAGCACTAAACCTGTAAAGGTCATATAGTACCTTGGAAATGGGACGTAATCAGGCTTTAACCAAGGAAGGGAAGGATAGCTTCAATTCTTTGGATCAAGAACTCTTCACCATTATAAAGGAAGTCTACTTTAAAGATTACAGTACATTATTTATTTTTTAACACACTGGCCATCTCCAACCAAGGTAGAGTGACCTGAAAAAGAAGAAACACTGACCATCACTCTGCCACTATCCTGCCAGAGGCATGCTGACATTAAAGCTCAGAAGCCCCTTCAAACTGCAACATCCCTACCCCTCAGAGTGCAGGCATTGTACTTCTCACCTCTAGGAATCAAGCCTGGCTAACCAGTTTCCCTGAATCCCTTCATAAATGTTACCTTGCTCACACTCCAACAGCACATCATCATGGTAAGTAAGACACATAGGCAATAGTTAGGCATCTTTAATCTGAAATGTTTCACCTACACAGTAGGCTTCTTCAGTCGAGTACAGAAAGTAGGCAGGAGCAGTAGAGACGTGAAGACGATGTAATCAGTCCATCACCCTTGGAGTTGAAGATTTGAGGTTGTCAGTCCCTCAGTCTGGAGAAGTGTTCTGTTCCATACTCTGAAACAATGTTGCCTGTGTCTTACTTACCAATTTGTTGGTATTATATACCATTTTGATATTCAGCACATCATAAAAATTGTTTGCCTCTACTCATCCCATCAACACAACACACCACACACCCACAACAAACCACACACACACACAACCACACACACATCACACTACACACACACATACACACAAACACACACACACACACAACACAACATACACACACAACACACACACACACACACACACACAACACACACACACACACACACCACACACACACACACACACACACACACACACAACACACACCACACACACAACACACACACACACACACACACACACACACACACCACACACACACACACACACACACACACACACACACACCACACACACCACACACACACACCACACACACACACACACACACACCACACACACACACACACACACACACACACACACACCACACACACCACACACACACCACACACACACCACACACACACACACACACACACACACCACACACACACACCACACACCACACCCCACACACACCACACACACACACACACACACACACCCCACACACCACACACACACACACCACACACACACACCACACACACACACACACACACACCACACACACCACACACACACACCCACACACACACACACACACCACACACACACACAAAAACACACACACACACCACACACACACACACCACACACACACACCACACACACACACCTACCTACCTACCTACCTACCTCTACCTACACACCTACCTACCTACACACCTACCTACCTACACACCTACCTACCTACACACCTACCTACCTACCTACCTCTCACTTTTTTCCCAATGTCCATGAAAAAATAGAAACTTTGCCCTTTAGTGATAACTGGTCGATGGGTACTGCCAGAGTTCTGGTCATCCATGAGGTCAGCATGACAACACGTTCCTAATTGAGGAAAGGAAGTACTTCTGGGAAGTATTAAGACAAAGACACATGTAGCAGAATAAATCTTTATTGTAAGAATGTTTCACTCTAAGAAGAGCTTGGAAAAGCTCTTCTTAAACTAAATAGTGTCCCAATAAAGTAGTGTTCTAGTGTATGTATTTTTGTTTTCATACTTAATCCAGACCCAAGTTGAAGTATCTTGCATGCACTACTTTGAGACTTGTAAATTTTTTGGAACCTTCATTTATGTAATCATAGTCATTGTTGCTGAGGAGAAAATTATCTCCAGAGTCAATAATATTCAGTATGATAAATTTCTACATCTAGACACACAGTCCTCTTCTGATATAATATTTTTTTTTTAACACAATGGCTATCTCCCACTAAAGAAGGATGACCTGAAAAAGAAGAAACAAAGATTTCTTCATTTTACATTTAGTAATTTATGCAGGAGAAGGGATTACTAGCCCCATGCTCCTGGCATTGTAATCACCTCTTATGACACACACATGGCTAACAGAGGAGGGATTTTTCTCCACTTCCTCATAGTTTTATCAAAATTATCTATAGGAAAATCAAATCATTGTTGAATTGTTCTTAATTTCTGTTTACAGCCCAAAGTGAACGCCAAGCAGTTAACACAGCAATACAGGGATCTGCAGCAGACATAGTCAAATTAGCTATGGTGAGGATAAACACAGCCATTCGACAAGCATTCCCAACAGCACCTGCTTTCCTCACACAGCCAACTAAAAGCAGGGAGGATATAAGTGGAGGTTTTTTAGTACTGCAGCTTCATGATGAACTTATGTATGAGGTAAGGGACACTTCCAATTATAGCATGGGGTGTCTGTAGGAAAATAGGTTTCAATATCTGAATGTTTGGCTTATGAAAAATTTTTTGGAACACACTAGTGTTGTAAGTTGGGGTCCTGCTGTATCAGGCATGTCTCTTCACCACTCCAGAGAGTATGTTTTGGATACCTTAAGTTACTCTCAGTAATTTAAATGTTTAACCCTTTCAGGGTCCGTCCCGTAGATCTACGGCTTCACATTGAGTGTCCAAACCGTAGATCTATGCCAAAATTCTAGCACCGTCAAATTTAGCGCGAAAGCGCTCATAGGCCTACATGTGAGAGAACGGGTCTGCGTGGTGGGTGTGCGCCATAAACAAAAAATCTAGGCGCCCGCATAGCATTGTGGGAACGCCAGCTCAGTTACCCATGTTCACCATGCCTTGTCGCAAGTCAGCTCTCACTCCCCGGAAAATTGGGACTCTCCTCTTCCTATCTGATAGTTCTGACACTGATGGAAGTGGAAATGAAGACGAATTCTACGGCTTTGATCAGTTAGTGACCGAAAAGAATGACCAGGATATCGATAATAGTGCAGAAAACCCTGACGATCCTCAACCTTCTACCTCTGGTGTGGGCACTCGTGACTCACGGTCGGTTGTTCCTCAACGCAAGAGAAAACTAATATTTTCACGTGGCCAGGCCTCTGACTTCAGTAATGATGATGATAGTGACGTGGATTGTGATTTTATTGCGCTCGACGATCATTCAAGTAGTGATAGTGAGGAATCATATTCACCAGTGAAGCGTCGGTATGTTCGCCGCCGCATGCGCTCGGGTAGTATACCCTATGCTGTGCCCAGGGGACGGAGTACATCCCGTGGCCCTACACCAGTTTTAGGTAGTGATGGTGAGGATGATGTGGCTACACTTGGCATGGATAGACCACAGGCATCAGTGGATGGTGTTAGTGGTGATGGTAGTGGCACCGCCATGCGTGACTCACCAGCCCAGGCTGGGACCCACGCTGCTGACTCGTCAGCCACCACAACCACAACCACCCGCACAACCAGCCTATGATGTCCAGTATCCACCAGCAAACCGTATGTGGGATTGGCAGCAAAATCCCAATTTTGTTCCCAAGCCTCACCACTTTGATGACTCTCAAAGTGGAATTCTACCTACTTGTCCCCTTGGAACCACGGCCAATGAACTGGAATTCTTTGAATTATTCTTTGACCAGCCATTGATGGAAACTATTGTCAGGGAAAGTAATAAGTATTTTGAGTACACCATGGCAAATACGATCATATCACTACAGTCAAGACTACACAGGTGGAAAGAGACGACTGTTGCAGAAATGTATTTGCTTTTTGCAACAATAATGCTTATGCCTCATGTCTATAAGCATACTGGTCCACAGATCGGCTAATTTCTACCCCGGTCTTCAGTGAAATCATACCAGTGAACAGGTTTATCTTACTCTTACGTATGTTCACTTCTCTGACAAAACCAGGCCTGACAGAAGTGACAGGTTATATATATTATATTATATTATCACACCGGCCGATTCCCACCAAGGCAGGGTGGCCCGAAAAAGAAAAACTTTCACCATCATTCACTCCATCACTGTCTTGCCAGAAGGGTGCTTTACACTACAGTTTTTAAACTGCAACATTAACACCCCTCCTTCAGAGTGCAGGCACTGTACTTCCCATCTCCAGGACTCAAGTCCGGCCTGCCGGTTTCCCTGAATCCCTTCATAAATGTTACTTTGCTCACACTCCAACAGCACGTCAAGTATTAAAAACCATTTGTCTCCATTCACTCCTATCAAACACGCTCACGCATGCCTGCTGGAAGTCCAAGCCCCTCGCACACAAAACCTCCTTTACCCCCTCCCTCCAACCCTTCCTAGGCCGACCCCTACCCCGCCTTCCTTCCACTACAGACTGATACACTCTTGAAGTCATTCTGTTTCGCTCCATTCTCTCTACATGTCCGAACCACCTCAACAACCCTTCCTCAGCCCTCTGGACAACAGTTTTGGTAATCCCGCACCTCCTCCTAACTTCCAAACTACGAATTCTCTGCATTATATTCACACCACACATTGCCCTCAGACATGACATCTCCACTGCCTCCAGCCTTCTCCTCGCTGCAACATTCATCACCCACGCTTCACACCCATATAAGAGCGTTGGTAAAACTATACTCTCATACATTCCCCTCTTTGCCTCCAAGGACAAGATTAGAAATGTTTTCATGTATCTCAAACAGAAGTTCAGCATATACTATTATCCATTCAAGAATCTTGTAATTGATGAGTCTTTGATTTTGTTCAAAGGTAGACTGTCATTCAAGCAGTATATACCGAGCAAGAGGAAACGCTTTGGTATAAAACTGTTTGTACTCTGTGATTGTGACAGTGGCCTGGTGTTGGATATTGTTGTATACACGGGAAGTATAACATTGAAAGATACCAAGATGTTATTGGGTATCTCAGGTGACGTAGTGAGAAACATGATGGCACCTTATCTTGGTAAGGGGCATACATTATATACCGATAACTGGTACACAAGCCCATTACTCAGTGATTTCATGCGAGTGAACAAGACAGATGTGTGTGTGGCACAGTGCGTTCTAATCGTAAACATATGCCCAGGCTCAACGCAGGTGCTCGTGGTGATGATGTGCAGGTGATTACTGCCAATGACATCATGGCATTACGGTGGCATGACAAACGAGATGTCACATTGTTGACAACCATTCACCATAATGAAATGCAAGACAGTGGCAAAGTTGATCGAGTGACTAATGAACGTACGTATTCGAAAACCAGTGACAGTGATTGATTATACACAAAACATGCACTTGGTTGACAAATGTGACATGCAGATTGGTTTTGTTGACTGTGTTCGTAAGAGTTACAAGTGGTACATGAAACTTTTCTTCCATCTCATGGACATTTCAATGCTCAATGCATATAATATGTACCAAATAAAGACTGGCAACAGACCACCGTATGGTGAATTTTGTTTGTCTGTTGTCAGACAACTCATAATGAAGTACCAGGTAAGAACACCTGCTATACAACAAGGTCCTCGAATTACTCAGGATATACCCAAGCGTTTGAGGAGGGAAGGTGATCATTTCATAATACAAACTTCCTTCAACTCAGAAGAAATTTACTCAGAAGAGATGCATCGTCTGTGCACAAACAAAACGACGGCAACAAAGACGCAAAGACACTCGGTTTATGTGTGAGGAATGTTAGGTGCCTCTGTGCATGGTGCCTTGTTTCAAGGAGTTCCACAAGCTCCAGCAGTTCTAAAACCATGTCCAGTGATTGTAAATATGTAAATATATGATAGAACATTAGTATTATACAAGATTTGTGCATGTTTATTGTAATAAACAACAGTGGTAAACAATAATATGATAACTTTAGTGCGGTTATTGTGTTCAATACAGTGAGTTTATATATATACATTATATACAGTATTGATAACCTGATGATCTGTTGGAGTGTGAGCAGGGTAATATTTAGTGAAGGGATTCAGGGAAACCGGTTATTTTCATATAGTCGGACTTGAGTCCTGGAAATGGGAAGTACAATGCCTGCACTTTAAAGGAGGGGTTTGGGATATTGGCAGTTTGGAGGGATATGTTGTGTATCTCTATACGTATATGCTTCTAAACTGTTATATTCTGAGCACCTCTGCAAAAGCAGTGATAATGTGTGAGTGTGGTGAAAGTGTTGAATGATGATGAAAGTATTTTCTTTTTGGGGATTTTCTTTCTTTTTTTTTTGGGTCACCCTGCCTCGGTGGGAGACGACCGACTTGTTGAAAAAAAAAAAAAAATACAGTATTGGTCTCTCAGGCCCCAAATGTTAGTAGGAATAGAAAAAATTGGAAAAGAAAAGAAAAAACTATAAAAACCGTAAAATAATGTAATGCGCTTATGTGGAATTCATCGATGTTGCCGCCACCACATCATTTTTGACAAACTTCTTGGCACTGTATCTCGGTAAGTACTGATCAGAATTTTTTTTTTTGTCTTATTACCTTCACAAAAATATGCTCTTTAATTCTGTAAGATTTTTTTTTTTTTTTTTTTTTTTTTTTTTTTTTTTTTTTTTTTTTTTTTTTCAAAATTTCTTGGCACGGAGCACCACTTCAGATTTTGGCCTGGCCCTGAGGGGTTAAATTTAATTCTGTATGAATTATGAGAACTGCTAGGTCCTTTTTTTTTTTTCTTTTGGCTTGATGGTTTTGAAACTTTTTATATTCATGTTTTAATTCATTGTTATAACCCAGATATTGTACATTGAACTTGTTCACACTGAAACTCATCTTCCACATCACTATTCACTGCACCAACTCATCCAATTCCCTCTTATGTATAAGAAAGCTCCTGTGCTTAAGATTGCAAAATGGTGATCAACTGTAATAATATTTTAGATTACAAAATTGAATCTAAATATTATCATGCAAGATAACACAAAATAATCACATAACTATGCAGCTGCCATGTAATTGACATGTGGAGAATTTGCTTTACATACATCACAGTTAAATAAGTTTCATATCACCCAGTCTAGTAAAGCATAGTGACTATAGGTATTTCCAAAAGACTTCTATTCATAGTTCTTCAAGGGTTGTACTTTGATTTGCAGTAAGGGGCTCTTGATTCAAAGAAATACAGTTACCCTTTCCTTCCTTATTTCAAATCTGATTGCTTCTCACTCCCCAGGTGCAACATGACCCTCACCACTTTGGCACTTCTTCATCAGTCTCACATTTTGCATGTCAAATAATCACATTTTCAATGAATTGTGATTGAAGTATAGTGCCCAGTTTCACATTGCAAGGGAAACTGAGTTTGATTGTGCTATAAAGATTTGAAAATAAGCTGGGAGGTAGTGCACAAAGGCTGGTAACCCATAATTGCACATCAGTTACATATTCCCCTGCCTTAACAGTCATGTATCTACTGTAGTTGTATTTCTACATTTGAA